GCATGACAGCACATGGTATGGAATGTCCCTTTGGCCAGTTTGGGTCAGCTGTCCTGGCTGTGCCCCCTCCCAGCTTCTCACTGGCAGGGCATAAGAGGCTGAAAAGTCCTTGACTAGTGTAAGCACTACTTAGCAACAACTAGAACATCAGTCTGTTATCAACGTTGTTCTCATGCTAAATCCAAAACACAGCACTGTACCAGCTACTAGGAAGAAAATTAACTCTATCCCTGCCAAAACCAGGACATTCACCCTTTCAGTTCGGAGCCAGTGGGAAGCTCTAAGCTTGAATTTAGAAGTTAGAAGAAAAGTTTGTTGGGATTCTGGGCCAGTTGATCACATTGCTTCAGGAAACTTGCAGAGCCTGATGTCATTCAGTATTTATATGATCAGTGGAACATGCTTGAGCTAAACTTTAGTGGTTCCTACCGATCACTATTCACCCAGTAGCCGTAGCTCTGCACAGTAGTCCTCAGGAGCAGTGTGCCCATCAGTTCAGCAAGGTTTTGCCAACATTTTTTTCTTTTTCTGCCAGCTTTGATTTGTGATGAGTATCGTTTAATCTTTGGCTCAATCTGGTAGATACCAGCTGTCTCCTGACCTCTGTCTAGCTTGGATTTACCCTCTCATCCAGTGTGTAACTGAGTTGTCACCTTACAGAGTTACGTGTTTCTCCTTCCGGCTGGTGAGCACAAGGAAAGCTGTTCTCGCCTAAGGTAGACTTATGCCACAGCATCCTGTTTCCCAGTAGTGTATCTGTTTTTTTTCTGGGATGGCTGTAAAAAAGCCAAATTAAGAAGTTTGGGTTAATTTTTATATTTCATAAAGAATGAGGAAAACTGAACCTTGTTCTGGTTGTGATGATATTTTGATATTGGTTCAATGTGGTCAAGTCACATCTCTGTGTCTGGCGTCTTTTATTCCTCACTGAGCATTCTTTCTTTTTCTTCACAGTCTCACTGCCTATTTTGGTCTGCTGGAGGTCTGCAGGATGAAGCCAGGAGAGACGGTGCTGGTTAATGCTGCAGCTGGAGCTGTGGGCTCTGTGGTGGGGCAGCTCGCTAAAATTGGGGTGAGTGGCTTGAACTGCTCATACTTGCTCCTCAGAAGGCTCACCTGGAGGCAGGGGAACAAGGCCATGAATGATCAGGAGGGCAAGCATCCCTGAAGGCATGCCTACAGTAAGGTCTTGAGATGGGATAAGCTCCTGAAGATGTAGCAAAGCTAGTTGAATGTTTCCTAGCAGTCAGGAACTCATGTGGTGACAACAGCCTGACTTTAAGGATGAGCTCTCCACTCAGCTGTGACTGTTAGCCTGTGTTGTGAGGGGATGTTTAAAAATGTTTTTCTCCTTTCCTTGCAGGGTTGCAAAGTGGTTGGCTGTGCTGGCTCAGATGAGAAGGTTGCCTATCTGAAAAAAATAGGCTTTGATGAAGCCTTTAATTACAAGACTGTTACATCTTTGGATGAAGCACTGCGTAAAGCCTCTCCTGATGGCTACGACTGTTTCTTTGACAATGTGAGTTCAGAGAGAGGGCCCTACCCTGAACAGACTGTCATTTTCCTTAAACTATAGCAGGAACCCAATATTGTATATATCTAATTGAAGACTACACCAGGAACTCGATATTTCGAGTTCCATCTAATTGAGAAATGGTCTCCATAAGAGCTTACTGCTTTCCTGTTCCCTTCCCACCCTTATTTCTGCGGCTGACTTGGGCAGTAACAGAAAGAACAAAGACCGAAAGGCAAAGCTGGATTGTTGGTGGTGTTTGTGAATGGAGAGAGAGAAGCTTTCAGTCTTTGGAAAGTCTGGCACATTTTGGGGATGTGAGGGTCACAGTGAACATTTAACTGATGCTGAACAGAGAGAGCTCCAGTCCGTTCCTGGCCCCACCTTGGACCACAGGCAGTCCTCTGCTGTTGCTGGAAGGGGGGCAAGCACGGATGGTCCCACGTTACATGGTCCAGGTGGCTACACTGGTACCTGTAAACAAAACAGTTGAAAGGCCCACTTGTAAAATTGTTGGAGTGGCCCACAGAGGGTGTCTGACCTCTCCCAGGTACAGCTGGAGTTAATGGGGGCTGTGGACTGTTCTTGATAGGCTGTTTGAATGTGACCATCTCGTTTTGGAGAGTTTAACAGTACAGATGCAGTCAAACCATGTCAGTTTGCCTTCAAGACAGAGAACAAGCCCTGGCTTTTTTAATTTCCTAGTATAGCTAATCTATGCATTATACCTGATAATATAATACCTGGCACTGGGGTATTAGCTGACATACTGGCCTAAAACTCCCTGGCTAGCCACCTGGTTTAAAGGGCAGCCATCATCACCCCTTTAGCATGTCTTTCCCTCAGCAGTCTGTCTACCAATCCAGGGATGACAGTGCTGTCGTTCTGTGTGGATTGCAACGCACCTGCCTTGCCCTGGCAATCGATGTGAATGCATGGTGCGAGGGCAAAGCACTTGCCCCTGTGGCAGGAGCTCCTGGTTGCCTTGCCTCACTCTTCCAGATTTCATGTCCTGTGCTGCTAAGGTCTTAAATGGGTTTTATGGTCATATCCGTTCCCTTCCCTCTCGCTTCCAACTTTTGTGCAGAGCTCTCCCCAGCAGTAAATTTTCTCACAGCTTTTCTCTGTTAAAAGCTTCCGAGTATAGTATATCCCTATTTGGGAGAAGAGAATCACTGAGTAAAAACTTGTCATCAACATAATGTGAAAAGGTAAAAGTGCAGACTGATGTGGGGGAAAAGCAGAGGTGGTGCTTCTTAGTGCCCCTGGACATGCCCCTTAGGAGGAGGGATCTAAGGGCAAGTCCTGCCCAGTGCTTCCAAACCAAGCTTTGTGAAGCAGATTCGGAATTAAAACTGATTCCTTGTATTCATAACTAATTTTTAGAAGAGTGACATCGAGTCTTCATAGGTGTTGACTAAGTGTAAGGGTTTCTGCAGCCACTGAGTCTTTGGAGTAGTGGAACTCACCTCTCCACCCCTTGATGGAACCTGTTGGTGCAACAGTGCAAGGTTGGCAGGTTTTGGCAGTCAATGCCAAACACTGGATGTCTCTAATGCTGCACATGCTCTGGTTCTTGTAGGTGGGCGGAGAATTTGCCAGTATTGCTATCAACCAGATGAAGAAATATGGAAGGATTGCAGTCTGTGGAGCCATCTCTCAGTACAATGACTCTGTGCCTCAGAAAGGTGTGGGCCTGCTTTCTTGTGTCTAAGTTTGTTTCCTGTTTGGTGATGGCAGAGATAAGGACATAATGGGAGTCCCTTGAGATTTTATTGGTTGTTTCCATATGCCATGTATGTGTGTACATTTGGGTAACTAACCGCTGCTCTGGGACAGTGGGAGTGTGACTGCACTCCTTGTGTGTACGTGCACCCATCCCCCTTTGTGCACACTGGTATCGGATGGAGAATATCAGCTGATTAAAAATGGAAGGAGAGACTAAACTACTTAAACCAGGATTCCCCGGGGCCCTAAGCAGATACAGATCAGTAGAAGGCAGGTGTGGTGGCATGATGCCACTTACACAGTATGTACTTTTAGATGAGAGAATGGATTTCCCTTGGGTTTTTAGATGAAGCAGCTTAGGGTTTGGTTTGTTTTTTTCCATAAGAGTTCAACTACTGGTGAAACTGCTGGGAAATGTGGCCGAGATGAATATTCACTTTCAATAGCATTAAGTTTTCCAAATTTGCCTTCTAGAAGAAGCGGGAGGTCTGAATTATCTTTGACAACTGACTGGCTTTGGACTCCCAGATCACTTTAAAAATGGAACAGGCTTTTGAGAGTGGGGAGACTATTATACATTTTTATGATTGAGGGAACTTTTTTTTAATGTGCGTAACTTTTTTGAGATTTAGGAAGAGCATGAGAGCTTGGCAGGCTACCAAACAAGCTGTCAAAACAGTATTTCCAGGATTCAGCTGAAACCCCTCAGCTGAAGCTGAGGCTGCTTTACTTCTGAATGAAACTGTTTTCAGGAGAGTTAGGTGTTCAGCCCCACAGCTTTATGGATCAGGCCTGTTTTCCTGGGTGGCTGTCTGTCCATGAATCCTTGGTCTTGTGTCCTGGAAATTCTGTTTGGAAAAAAAAACAGTTGCTTCTGGCTGGAACAAAGTGATTCAGTGGTCTTTACTGGCTAAAAGCTCTCTTTAGACATTGGGTCTTATTTTAAATGAAACTGATATTGCAGGTGGTTTGCTGGTTCCTTTCTCTTGCAGGACCTTATGTGCAGGTTCCAATGATCTTCAAAGAGCTTCGAATGGAAGGGTTTATTGTGACCCGCTGGAATAACCGCCGGGAGGAAGGTCTGAAGGCACTGCTAAAATGGGTCCTGGAGGTAAGGAAGGAAGGGGTAGTTTTCTGTAAGGTGTACTCACACCATAGCTTCCCTCTTTGCAAGGGGTCTCTTGTCATAGCTGTTGAGGTGAGGGCCCATTGTGATACTTTTCTTCCACCTGACTTGATCTTTGAGCGTTTTGGGGACACTCAAACCATAGTGAACATGCCTGATCCCTTCTGCTTTGTTGAGACCTGCGATATTAGCTTGTGGGCTTAGATATACTCCAGAATACATGTAGGCTTTGAAAAAGGGTGCTTCCAGAGTAATTCAAAACACTTCTCCGGCAATGAAGAGTTTCATATTTAGAATGATTCTTCTATTTCTCATTCAGAAGTCTCATTTCATTTGTAGTATGAGCAAGGATTTCCACTGTAGTATTGTGCTGAAATTACTGGCAAGAATGGATGTTTTTATGGAATTGTGAGCTGGGCTTTAAAGGGACTTAATAGGGAATTTCTTAAATTTTATTTTTCTAAATGGAAGCTGAGTTTAACACTTGGTTCATGGCTGTGAAAAGCTTGTGAGTGTGAACACTAAAGGCTCTAGCTTTTACAAACAAGATTTGGGATGGCTCAGCTTTTGATCGCTTGGATTTGCAATTCCATACTTCCTTATGGGTAGAGACAGGCCTGGCTTTGGGGAAGTAATCCCCTACTTGTCCATTGTTTGGGGACCAAGTAGCACTAAATCTGTCCTGGTGTGTTTTTATAGCAGTGACTTTTGCTCCCTGTTATGACTCCAGGTAGAAGGTCTTGCAACAAAAGCAGGTCCTACCTGCCTAGTTTTGCAAAGTTACCCTGGTGCGTGACAGCTTGCATGTTTCAGATAAAACATACAAGCTGGAGAAAATTTGGATGTGATTTAGTCTTCCGAAGATCATAGAATCATAGAATCATTCAGGTTGGAAAAGACCTTTAAGATCATTGAGTCCAACCACAAACCTAGCACTGCCAAGTCCACCACTAAACCATGTCCCTAAGCACCACATCTACACCTCTTTTAACTACCTCCAGGGATGGTGACTCCATCATTTCAACTGGGCAGCCTGTTCCAATGCTTTACAACCCTTTCAGTGAAGAAATATTTCCTAATATCCAATCATCTAAACCTCCCCTGGCACAACTTGAGACCATTTCCTCTTGTCCTATCGCTTGTTACTTGGGAGAAGGGACCGACCCCCACCTCGCTACAACCTCCTTTCAGGGAGTTGTAGAGAGCGATGAGGTCTCCCCTCAGCCTCCTTTTCTCCAGGCTAAACAACCCCAGTTCCCTCAGCCGCTCCTCAGAAGACTTGTTCTCCAGACCCCTCACCAGCCTCGTTGCCCTTCTCTGGACACGCTCCAGCAGGCCTCACCAGTGCCGAGTGCAGGGGGACGATGCTAAAAACTAGGGAGCTGGTGAACGAAAACTCAGCAATTTCCTTTCTTCCTTTTGACAGGGAAAAGTGAAGTGCCATGAACAAGTGACTGAAGGATTTGAGAACATGCCAATAGCTTTCATTGGAATGTTAAAGGGAGAAAATCTTGGAAAAGCCATTGTAAAAATCTGAAGGTCACATATTCCTGGGAGACTGGCGCAGGAGAATGTGATTCTGTTAAAGTGCATTTAACTCACTGATTGGAAGGCATGTTTCAGTCTTTTTGCTGGATGTTAGGTAATGATAACTTCTGTTAATAATTGGGGTAGTAAGTGTAAGTATATGCCAATGGCTTTGCTCTTCAAGAACTTGAGAGTTGCTTCCCAAACCTACATAAAAAATAAAAGCCTTAAAACTGCTACACCTCATCAGAACTGTAACAGATTTAATAGTAGCCTGAAGCTGTCTATGAATTGGCTTGTAGAAAGCAATAGCAATTCCAAAAGCTTTGCGATCTGATGGCACATCTGGTGACTGATGTTTACCTACTGATTTGGCCCAGAACTCAGCAAAAGGGTTTTTTTTAACCAGTATCAAGGAGCAAAGAACAGGCTAAAAACACCTGGGGGTTCCCAGCTTCCTCACATGGGTGTTTTTTTGTTTTTCACTTTCATCAGGAAATGTAGATATTTCAGTTATTCTGAGATTCTGGAAAGAAAAAATAAATCTGTTACTGGATACTTTGCTTGTGTTATAGTTCTGTTTGTAGAATGCCCTCCACTTCCTTGCGGTTAACACAGAGTGGCTAAAATACTGCAAGCACTTATTTATCCCACCAGATCTCACAGTATGAGTGGCATGGATAGGTCACTTTCCTTGAGTAATTTGGCCATGGTGTTCACCCTGGCTCTCCTGGAAGATGAGGTCAATATGCTGGCCCTACCTGTGTTAAATTGGTGTCCAGGACCCACATGGTGCTGAGCAAAGGAGACACACAGATTAGCAACAATAAATACCTTAGATGTATTGAAAAAGCCAGAACAAGAACCTGTTACTTGCTACGGGATACAGACAGGTATTGAAGGTGATGGTGATCCATCTTCAACCAGTGTGGAGGACTTCTTGGTTAATTTTTAGGTCTCATTATTGATCTGTGAAGAGGGATCTTAGATGTCCTTAATGTCTTTGCAGTGCCAGGATTAGATGCTCTGTCTGTCAACAAGAGATCACTCACTCACAATGTAGATCAACCGATGCTCGCTGAGTGAACAAAACATGTCCTGAAATACAGGTTGACTGGCCACTGGGACAATAACGCATCTTGGCACAAGTAGGGGAGAGATTCTGGTTGCTTTATAGGGTTTTCTGGGGAGAAACAATTGCCAGTTTGGGTTAGCTCCAGTGCTGTGGTTTTCAACTGGCCTCTGAGAAAAATCTGTGGATTAATACTGCTGCGCAGTGTGGAAAATGGTAAACCAGAAAAGGGAGTTTGTTGTCAGTAGGCTTCAGAGCCACTGTGTAGAGGTCTGCTGCTGTTTGGCATTTTTTTATTGAGAAATTTTCAGAGGGCTTGCAAGTCCTAAAGTACTGAATTGTTTTAAAAGTCCAGTGAATTCATGATCTCGTTTCAAGTAAAGTTGTGATTTCAGAATGAAGTACAAATAGCCACATGGAGTTCCTTGGTCAGCGTTGCAGAAAGATTTGTCAGTCAGAGTAAGTCTGGCTCAGCCTGCTTTCTCATAAAATACTGACCTGTGCATTCTCCTCGCTATCTGTGCATACATTTCGTGCTTCATGAATTGCAGCTGATTTTGCAAAGCCATTTTGCCCCCAAACATAATTTTTTTTTGTAAAAGCAAACCCCCCCCAAACCTGTCCCACCTGTGAACTTCACTGGGGAACATAACTATTTCCTCCTGAAAATCCAAGTTTTCTGTTACGCACCAGGAATGCTGCCAGCACATGAATAATGACAATAATGTCCCTCATTGTCCGGCACACTGTCTGGAGGTCTTGCAGTGGTTTCTCACTGTGAGTTTGGTTGTCCTTGAAGTTCTAAAGCTTATGGAGCGATATCTGAATTTTTCCACAATGTGCTGATAACAATAAAAAGGGAGTATTAAAAACACAGGGGTTTTTTTCCGTGACAGTCATGGGAGTGAGAGTGTCAGTGGCACAAGATAAGCTGAAGGCCACAGAAACTCTATTTCTCCCCTCTAGTGACACGAACTAACCCTATGAGCGCTATCAGTGTAACGCAGTTGAACAAGGTGCCAATGCCCAGTGGAGAGCAGAGGCGCAGCTGTGTTGCTGCGATAGGCCCTTTCTGCCAATACGCAACTACACCTGCTTTTAGGCAGCACGTTGGTAGTACTGTGGCAGCCCAGCCTGTCCTCTGGCCAGTTGCACAAGGCCTGTGAGCAGCAGACGCTGGCTGCCATCACCCCTTCTCTAACATTATCACTCTGCAGCTGAGCTTAAAAGCTTTCTGGGAAAGGGTGAGCTCTTGGTGGTCCCACTGGCTGTCAGAAGGTGTGCAAGGGATTGCCTGGGGCTAGGCCCTCCTCGGCACTGCAGCAGTCCTCCACTGCATGCATCTGCAATGGTGAAAAGGGTGTCAGCTCTGCCCAGGGTGCAGTGCCCGTTCCTCAATGGCCCTGCAGCTCTGGTCTTTTTGTGCTGCTTTTCTCCAGTCCACATGGCCATGTCTGTGCCGCAACCTAAGTTACACTTAGCAAGTAGGCTTGACAGTGCGATTTCTAATGCTGTTTAGGATCCCAGTTCATTGACGATATAATATATAAGAGCAAGAGGAAGAGCTTATTTAATAATCTTAAATGCAAACAGCTGCAGGCTTCATCATCTGTTGGCTAAATAGCTCTTCATTTATATGTAACTAGTTCTAGAGTAGTGGTTTAACCGCTTAACACCTTATGCTTGCCTGTGCAAAATGAAACAGTCTCTAGATTAGAGGTGTTCCAATCTAATAAATTTTGCAACTTTTGTGTCCTGTTCCTAAGCAAATTCAATCTGGGGCTGGTGGCAATAGCCTGCCTGAGCTCAGGACACAGCAGGGACCAGCCTTGAGGAGTTCGCCATGGCCTGCCACACCAAGGGTGGCCTCAGGAGGCCCTGGGAATTGCTGCGAAGAGCTGTGGGTTGCTGAAACCGAGGAGCTATTCCTGGCGTGCATTGCTGCCTGCTGAGCTTCTCTCATGGTCCTCCAGGGTGGGTGCCCACAGGAGGGGGTCAGGACAACACAGCCCAGCCACAGCATCCACTCTCATGTGAGCCCTGTTCCCCAGCTGAAACAAATCCAACCTGAAACCCCCCAGCATCTCCGATGCAGCCTGGACTGAAGCGAGCAAGACATACCTCAGATCCTTTGCTCTTACCTTGCTCCCATGACTCCTGACTGCAGCTGTTCATCTCACACCCCCACCCAGCTAGACAGCATCAGCTCCAAACAGGTCCCTCACAGCTTAGCTTGCTGCTGGCCGTTACCTACAGTGTGGGGAGATGCCTCCTGTCCTTGTCCTCAGCTCCTCATCACTAGCTGAACATGGGCTCTGCTTCCTCATAAGCTGAAAGCCTTTGGGGCCATCCTGCTACTTGGCACTAAAACTGACCACTGCATTTCCCTTATCGGCAGCCTTCACAGTTCCGAGGACTGCTCATGGTGCCAGCCCTTGCTCTTCCCCCAGGCTCCTCTCTCTGAGGAACTAGAAACAGATGCAAGGAAAGGTGAAAAACCAGACTTGATTGCTTCCCTGAGGAAGTGTCATGGACTGACTCAAGTGGAGGGGAGATGACCCAAGCCTGGTCTAAAACTCTTCCTCTGTGGATGCAGTTGGACCCGATGCCCGGCTTCTCCACCTCCCTAGCCTCTGCCACATTCACCCCACCCCCGATGCTCCAGTTTCTGGGGGCCAGGCAGATGGTGCCACCTGGATAGTAGGAACCCATCCCCCGTGCATTCTCCTCTAGCCCATTACCTAGAGATACTACCATCACCCCAGTGCTGTCAGAGAGGGAAAAGCACAAGGCATTCCCAGAGTCAGTGCCTGTATAAATATATGTAGACATAGACAGTCACTGCCACCTCGTGGAGATTTGCGTGTCACAAATTTGTCTGCCAGCTGCAGGTAGAGATAAGGCTTCACACAGCTTCCGTGCAACCTGGACCATCTCAGCTTTCCCTCTCGAGAGGAGGAAAAATTGCATTTCATGTGGACATGCTTCCCCAACATCTCCACAAGACAAGCTCCTCGAACTCATCTAGTTGATCCTTACCAAATCTGGAAGCATCTGGCTGGGTACACTTCTCACCTGTGTGATACCTCCATTGAAAATAAGGATGCCACAGTATGGTTCAACCTCTACTCAGCTGAACTGAGTACAGCACCTGCTGCCTCCCCAGAGCTCCTTATCAGACTTCTTCCTGCCATAGTTTTGTGCTTGGTTTTCTGACTGAGGAAGACCTACAGATGAAGGTTTCAGCAGCTGGGGTAGCACTGGTATACAGTTACTGCTTCAGATGAAGAGCAGAGACTGCATGCCATGGCCAGGCCCCTGCTAAGCCAGGCATCGGGTCCAACTGCATCCACAGAGGTGCCCTCTCAGTCCTGCATTGCCTGTTGTTACCATGTCATTGTATTAGATTCACAGCAGAAGGGTTGGGTGTGTGTGTGTGTGGGGGAGGCTGCAGGGGTGGCTTCTGTGAGGACACCAGAAGCTGCCACCACATCAGACAGAGCCAGTGACAGCTGGCTCCAGGAGGGACCCACCACTGGCCAAAGCTGAGTCCTCTGTGGTAACATATTTGAGAAAAGGTTAAAAAAAAGCTACACAATAGCAGCAGAGAGAGAGGAGTGAGAATATGTGAGAGAAACAACTCTGCAGACACCAAGGTCAGTGAAGAAGGAGGGGAGGAGGTGCTCCAGGCATCAGAGTGGAGATTCCCCTGCAGCCCGTGGTGAAGACCATGGTGAGGCAGGCTGTCCCCCTGCAGCCCATGGAGGTCCACGGTGGAGCAGATATTCACCTGCAGCCCGTGGAGGACCCCACGACAGAGCAGGTGGATGCCTGAAGGAGGCTGTGACCCCATGGGGAGCCCACGCTGGAGCAGGCTCCTGGCAGGACTTCTGGCCTGCGGAGAGGAGCCCACACTGGAACAGGTTTGCTGGCAGGACCTGTGGTCCATGGGGGACCCACACTGCAACAGTCCATTCCTGAAAGGACTGTATCCCACGGACCCCACACTGGAGCAGGGGAAGAGCGTGAGGAGGAAGGAGCAGCAGAGACAACATGTTATGAACTGACCGCAACTCCCATCCCCCTGCACTGCTCAGGGGTGGGAAGGTGGAAGAGCCAGGAGTGAAATTGAGCCTGGAAAGAAGGGAGATATAGGGCGAGGTTTTATAGGATACTAAGAAATAAAAACAAATCTATTCTGTTTAATTGCAATAAATTAATTTCCCCAAGTGCAGTCTGTTTTGCCCATGACAGTAATTGCTGAGTGATCTCCCTGTCCTTATCTCAACCCACGAGCTTTGCTAGATCCAGTTAGTTTTGATGAATGAACAGTAAGAATTTAAACATTAGAATAACTACAAATACTCTTATTGTAATCATTCAGAGGGGAATCCAAGTCTTAACTTCATTCAGGTCAAGAAAAGAATGAAAAGCAGATGGTTAACTGGAGTTGAAGTTAGGCTGACTGCTACAAGAGAAGATGTGG